TAAAAACTAGGCTAGCATTTACGTATTAAAAATTATTGTAAATTTCAAGATAATTTACATTAAATAATCAAACAAGGAAAAAACATCTGAAATTCTAGAAGGCCAAGAAGCATGTATATTATGTACTAGTTGGAATATTTTTGTCCAATTAATCTTTAGGCTTTCAAAAATAACTTAGCACATCTGGGAAAATCAGTTTATTTTGTAATTAAGCCTTCTTTTTAAAAAGTTATTTTTAAATAATTTCGAAACATTGTGTAGATATTTTTTATTTAAATAAGTAGTTTCAAGTGAACATGCCTTTTTATTTCCCGAAATTGTGAATTTATTTTTACGCGGCACTTCCAATTCAAGTTTTGAATTTATTAAAATTATTATTAAAAAAATTCTCCAACACATTCCGTGTTTTTTTTAAATTTTCTTTAATTATTAAAAAAAATTTTTGACTGAAATATATCAAAAATAAAATGTTGCCCATTTATTTTTTGCAAAAATTTACAAAAAATTTTACATTTAATTTGTTCTTTTTCCTTCCAGTTTTCACTTAATTAAATGATTATCCCTTTAAATTATTTTCCTTCTTCTTCAATTACTTTCAAGGATGAAAATGAGACGGTGATTAAAAATAATACTTTTGGAGAAGCAAAAATGACCACTAAAAAATTTAAAAGGAATGGACAATTAATGGAGGTGATTCATTGAAAAAAATTAATTAATTAACAAAAAATCAAGCCCATCTGGTACCTTGTATTTTATATAATGTATTTTTGGTTCTACTTGACTTTATGAGTCCAATCAAACTTTATGAGTCCAATTGAAAAATAATTGGATTTCTCTTGGTATTGAAAATAGGAGTATGGTTCCAAGACATTTTTTCATGTTCAGGACCTACGGCCACTGAGTTTGGGACCATTACTTACCCTATCACTCAAAATTTCTGAAGGTTAAAATCGTTTTTCTAAAATTTTTAAAAATTAGCTATAACTTCAGAAATTTCGAGGGATAGGGTAAGTAATGTTCCCAGACTCAGTGGCCATAGGTCCTGAACTTGAAGAAATATCATGGAACCATACCCCAACTTACAACACCAAGAAAAATCCAATTATTTTTTGATTGGACTCATAAAGTTCGATTGGACTCATAAAGTCAAGTAGAACCGTATTTTTTATCACCCAAAATACCGCATACTAGTTCGACAAAAAATTAACGGTAATAGTGTCGTTTCCCAGCCCCCTTTTTTCCCCCTTTTTTTTCCTCCCCTTTTTTTCCTCCCAAACCTATAAAAGTTATCTCCCGGAATTTATGTGGCGAAAACGATTTGGCAATATTGAAAATGTTTTTTATAATTTTTGGCATCATGTCTCACTTTTTTATCCTTGTGAAAGAAATGAACAAAAAATTAATCTTTTTTGATTGTTTTTAGGCAAAATATGGAAAGGCAAATTTGATGAAAGAAAGGGGAAAATTTGACCATTCCGTACAAACATAGGGTAGAAAATTGTGAGGAAAAAAAGGGGGCTGGGAAACGACACTATTACCAAATTAACTAAAAGGATATATTGCGATAAGTGTACCTATCTCTGCTTTTTTTGGAAGCAAAGATAGGCATTTGGCAGTCCCCCCGATAGTCCCTGACATCCTACTGACAGTCCCCCTTCCCCCTATATATCCCCCTCCCCCATATTCCCTCTCATATATCCCCCTCATCCATAGGATTCTGTTATGTATGCCTAATGCATATTCCAGGGATGTCTCGGGAAAAAAAATGTCGAGTAGGGGTTTTTGGTCAGAAATTCCGGTTTTCGTGTAACTCATGATATCCCTCATATATTCTAATTAATTAAATAATTATTTTATAGCCAAATAAAGCAACAAACAAATGTACTAGTCGATTTTGTAGTAATACAACAGACTGTCCTAGTGGGCGAAGGACTCAATATGTGCCATTTTCTGTTCACCAAATTTCGTTATTGTTGCTGGCAATATTTATTTTGTTTGTTGGATTGAAATGTAAGTATTTTTAAATAAATATTAAATTCATATTTATGTCTAGAAAATATAAATTCTAGAAAAAGTTTTTTAAAGTTTCACTCAATTTACATCAATTTTTTGCTTATTTTTAAATTTATTTTTTAATTTCCCTTTCTATACCAATTTTAAATTTCCAATTCGCGTTCAACCTTTTTTTATCTTTTCATTTTATTCGTAGGGTTGTATTTTAATTAAATTAAAATTTCCAAAAATTTAAATTTAATTTTTGCCTTTTAATTTTTTCCCTACTTCTTTTATATTTTTTCTATCAAATTTTTATTTTTTCTTTAAATCACCTAAATATTTATTTCCAAAATTTTTAAGTCATAATATAGTATATTAAAATTATTTAATTTTATTTTATAAATTTGCTGAATCATTGAATCAAATATGATTGGGGAGATTGTTGAGTAGATATTGAGTTGATTATTTTTGGAAGCTAAAGCATGCTTTAGCTAAAATTAATTACTAATTTAAATATAAATTTAAGGGTTTCCGTTTCGTTATCCATTTTATTGTAAACCCCTTATTAATCCAAAACAATTGTTTGTCCGTCCTTTACATAAAACAATACAATATCTATCTAAATACAAATCTCCTTTAGAGGGGTCAGAACCTCCTTTAGAGTAGTATTCGGCTCATTTCGGTACTACCGAATACCGAACTCGGTACTTTTCGGTACTACTGGTATTGGTATTGAAAAAAATCCATTTGCCGAACACTACATTAGAGAGGAGACCTCTATTTGGTGGTCGGTTTAGGTAGAGAATTGAAGTATCTTAGATCGATACATATTTTTTTCAAATTTTAAAAATTTTTTATTTAATATATATAACTATCATTTCATTATTTTATAAGTTTATCGATATAAGGGAGATATCAAATATTTTGTGTCCTCTTCATTCTGGTGTTGTTTATTTTTGTAAGTTAAAGCATGCTTTAACTAAAATTATTTCATTTGAATAAAAATGAAAGCTTTTCTATTGTTTATCCAAAATGTTTTACATAGAACAAAATGTACGGCATACAGAGATTTTACAGTATTTCTTAAAATAGAGCCCCATGTGGCAATGCTTTTCAACTTCTAAAGTGGTATTCTTGAGAATACGGTATCTATCTAAATCCAAAATCACTTATTGAGGTCAGACCTCTTTTTTTTCAGACCTCTTGGTTGACCGACATTTATGAGAGATGTCCGAGACTTTATTTTTAAGGACAATTCAACACCTATTTCAAATTCCTTCCAATTCCATTCAAATTCCTTTCCTCCCCTCATACCCTCCAAAAGCATTCCATTTTACCTATAACAATCTGTGCGGCATTAAAATATTTTCATATATTTACGTGCAATTAATACAGCTTCAAATAAATATTCAATAACCCGCTTTTTATCTTCTTTAGAATAGTTAAAAATGGCAGACGCGCCATTGACCTCGACGGGGGGTTTTTAGACGAAAGAAAAGAAAAGTTTTGGTGGCCGTCACAGCTTGTTGGAACCGAAATGGAATGAAAAAAGGAGTGAAAGTAAATGAGAATAAAAGTTGAAAAAAAATACAAAAACTTGTTTTTGTTGTCAGATGTTTGTAAAAATAAATGAAAGAGAAAAGAATTTTTAGGGAGAAAAAAGATGAATTGTGATTTGGTATTTATGTGTGTGTCTGGATTAATTGATAATTAATGGGGGGATTAAATGTGATAAAATATATGAAAATAATAAATAAGGGGAATAATTGATTTGGAAAATTCTTGTAAAGATAAAAAAATCTTTTTGGGAAAATTTGAAAAATGATGTAAAAAAATTTTTTTTGGAAAACTGAGGGAAAATTTTTTGGAAAAATTTTTGGAAAATTTTTTTTGTTTTTTATTATTTTCTAAAATACCGTTAATATCATAATACATATAAGCCCTGGGATTATATTTTTCAATATCCCCCATCGGGTGGGCTTATAATAGGGCATGGGCTTCTATTAGGATATTTACGGTAAATTTTAATTTATTTTCTTAATTAATTTTATTTTTTATATCAAATATTAATGTCAGATCCCATTAAAAAATAACTCTAAAATTAGAATAATCTTCAAGTTGATTTACGTTTTATTTTTGGGTAGTGGAGAACAAACACTTCATTGAAGAAGTGCCCGGACCTTATCCGGATAGTTTTTTTTGAAATTCTGTGTTCAAGTTTAAAATCCGTTTCCATAGATTTTATAGCCGCGAACGATGTTACGGTTTCCAAAAATAATTTTCGCTTCTACAAAATGACTCAAACTTTTAGACAAAAATTAATGTTTATTAAAATTTATAAACAAAACATTTTATATTTTTTTAGAAAGATGTTAAAAATTATTTTTCATAGTTACCTAAATTACTAAAAATTAATTTTATTATTTTAAATAATAGCCTACTAATGTATATACTAGAGACCGGCGCGGGACGGGATCCCGATCCCGAAATCACGGATTTTTTTGATTTTCGGGATCAACCGGGATCCGGGATTTTTTCGGGATTTATGTCTCGGGATCCCATCCCGGCATCGGTCAAGAAAAAAAATCCCGACTCGGGATCCCGGAAGTGCAATTTTGCTGGTCTCTAGTATATACCTATTCTAGTATTAATTACTCTTACTCTTGTGCTCTCTCTTACCATACTTATTCACACTTAACACACTTGCTTAGTGACCCTCGAAAGTGGACATTAAGCAAGTTTTGAAATTTTAACGTGTGTTAAACCGTATCAAATTTTTAATATTTACGTCTATTCATGATAATTTTATATCGGACTTCTGTCTCCTTCTATTTTGCAAATTATTTTTGGAAGCTTTGTTAAAAACAAGGCTAACATTAATTTGGGATGAGTACATTGGTACATAATTATTGCTTAGCCTACTGGAGTTAGAGTGATTATTGGAGACAAGTTAATTAATTGAGTAAATAGCTATTTTTCTTTAACTATTTTTATTTTTTTTTCAGGCGTATCCGCAGGAAAGATGGATGTTGACAACGATATTGAAGAGGGGGAATTCCTTCACACTTTTCTAAAAAGTGATGATAATGAAAATCATCAGATTACCGAAGAACACCATTTTGATGAGGAAATGCCTACACCCCCAACTTTAATACCTTCGTTTGTGACAGGACAAGATCCTTCTGATTTAACAGAAAGGTGGGTAAATTATATTTTTATTCATCTTCAGGTCTGGTATTCCCCTTAAACATATTAAATTTTCAATTTTTATTGTTATTTATATTCATTTTTATAATGAATATTGTTGAAACGCATGTTGATGAATTATTTTTGGATGCCTTGATAAACACAAGGCTAAGAAGGTCTATAAATCGGATATGAGTCTTTAAAAATAAGTATTTGTAGTATTTTTGTGGATAGTGAATCCAATGCTAATATGTATACCTCAATTAGTCTTGTAGGTTGTTCTAGTAAAACCTCTGTCTAAAAAATTCACCCCTTCAAGTTACTGTGCCGCTTATAATGGCAAGAGTAAAAAAGTATACTACAGATCAGCACTCTCCGCTGGAATCATAAGTTTTAATTGAGCTCAAAGACTTATGGGGCCTCATTGGACTCACAAACTAGACCGTTGTCAATAATTTGTTAATATCTGAACCCATCTTTTAAATTTAAATTGGCTTTCAAATTATAGTTCAACCAAATCAACAACAACAACAACTACGACCACAAAAACTACAAAAAAGACAACAACAACCACAACAACTACCGAAGCCTCAACTGAAACAACAACAATAGATCGAGAAAAACAAATGTTAAAATCGGCAGAACGTTCATCTTTACTAAATAGAAAGCCAACCAGAAAAAGAGTTGCAGGAGAATGCAACGATTTACACGGTTGGGGATTTTGTTTAAATTATTTTTAAATTTGATTTTTTGATGGTCAATTTTTATTCACAGTGATTTTTCCTATATCTCTTCCAGGCCCCTTTGGGTTCTGAATAATGTTCGGCACAGTTTGATACTACCTATATATTACAGATAGTAACGAACGATACCGTAAGATACCTCCTTGTTGCTAATAAATCAAAACCTTATGTTGAGAGTAAAATTAGGTTAAGATCACAACATCTAAATTTACATTGCATATCTCAAGTTGAGGAGTACCTAATTTTATATGTAATTTCTACCAAAAAATTTATTTTCAAAAATGATTATATAAACTTTATTTGCGTTTTTAATTAATTTTCTGTTAAATCAAGCTTTAACATCCAAAAATAGCCCAAATGGAACAAAAGGCAATTATTGAGATAATGTTATCAACAAATTTATTAATAAATCTAGGAATAAAATTATTATATATGAAATAATTTAAATTTTAGTCGTATCATTAAATTAACAATTTTTTAGATCTCTGTAAATTTTGGACATCAATTGGTGAATGTAAAAATAACAAAGATTGGATGCGGGATCATTGTCCTGTTAGTTGTGATGTTTGTACTAATGGTAAAAGGATATTTTTTTGAATGAGGTGAAGTATAGTAGAAATTTTAAAGGATCATCAGTCTGTGTCGATCGTCATCGTCTCTGTGATTTTTGGGCATCTATGAAAGAATGTGAAACAAATGCTGTTTGGATGCTTGTAAATTGTCCTCGTTCTTGTAAGGTGAAAAAGAAATTTTTCAGATTTATTTCATAAATCGGACCTCACTGGATGAAATGTTAGGGATTAGGGACTTTAAACCTGTCCTCTTGTTATTTGAAGCTAAATTTCTTACGTGCGTTTTATTAGCCCTACCCCCTCCTGGGCTTCGTAAATTTTTTGATTTTCTATCTTAACTATTTAATGATAATTATTTTAACTTTGATTTGAATTAATTCTGGGAACTTCTGTTAGTATATGTGTAACAGAGGGTATGTTGGCTTATTTTTTGGAAGCTTGACATTGTTCATAGCTAATTTATTTAATTTAATAAAAAATTTTGATTTTATTGTTTAAATAGCTATGTAAAGGAGCTTCTGCAAAACGAGCGGAATTGGGAATATTTGAAGAATCTGACTGTACTTTTGTTTCAACACATGAAGGTCAATCTATTTATTCAAAAATTTTATTTTAAGATAAAAAACACTATTTTCTCTGATTTTTCGAAAATTTTAAAAATTACGAGAACCAGAAACCTCAAACTTTCAAAAAGTTCTGTTTCCCTTTAGATACCACAATTCGTCGAACAATTTCCACATCAGATGTCCGTGTAAGCAACAATGCTTTTGGTTGTTCTCCTGCATTAACGAGACCAAATTGTAACAAAAATCTCTGCTATCATTTAAAATTCCGAACTCTAGATGGTTCGTTTATTTTTTTGTTAATATCTTTTTTAGGGAAAATATTAATTATTTTGTTTTTAAATTTTAATAAACGATTTTGTTGAAGACAGTTAAAAGAATACATAGTCCAATAAATATTTTTGTAAGCCAGAACATCGTTCTAGGCTATAAATATTTTTTTCTAAATTTTTATACCGATTATTGATACTGATAAAAGCTGCAGGCAGTAAGGTCACTAGGTGAAGGGGATATAAACATCTCATATTTTCTATAAGGATTTTGAATTAAAATTTGTAACCGTGAGCTTTGCTTAATATGCATATTATTACTTCAACTTAAATTCATTTTGAATTTAGGAACTTGCAACAATTTGGAAAAGCCTTTGTTTGGTGCGGCATTTATGCCTTTGGCTCGGTGAAAATTAATTTTTTCGATTCAATAATTTTATTTAAAATTTCAAGGCTAAAAGAACCTGTTTACGATGACAAGATGGCAGCTCCTGTTGGTATATTATTTTTAAATTTTATTGGGGCAATACACTGTCCTACAAAATAACGTTCAGACATTAATACTGTTACCCTTTTACGTATAATAAGCTCGATTTATGTTAATATTATGTAATCTTAATATCTTAGATAGTAAAATCATTTAGTTTTTATTAATATTATTACTAGGGATCGGATTAATATGGATTTTCATTTTTTTCCTTTAGCATCATGTTGATAAGACCGATGAGTTATCAACCCAGATTTTCCCATATTTCATTATACCTCAGTGCTCTTTAATTCTACCACGACTGTACACGATTCACTCCAGAAAACCTTCAAAACTACCTAAAAATTGTGAATAAGCTTAGAGTGTTTTAAATGTGCAGTAAAATATTTGATTGTTAAAATTTTCATTTCTTGGTTCATGCATATTTTATTGATATATTGGATTTTAGTCCATATTTCAGTCCATATTGATATTTCATATAATTCCTAACTCTAATTATAATAATACGTCCTAACTTTTATTTTAAATTTTATTAAAATCGAAGATTTTATTTTTCACATTTCTAAGCTAAATGGGCAATTAATTTTACTTTAAAGTCTGAACTATATTTTTGTCGGACTGTTTATTGTACTTACATAAAAAATATATCAATTTATTATAATCATCTTATTTTCTAGCCTCAATTAATCATTTGAAGCCCTCCTCAAGAGAAGCAAGCAGATTAGTTAATTAATCTTTCTGAGTATTAAGTAAGCCTTTTAAAATTAGATGCTCAGTTCAACAGCAGAAATTCCAACAAAATGGAATGCTCTCCTTATGCAATGGGGACAATTTATTGCTCACGATGTTTCAAAAACTACAATGTTAAATAATCAAGTAAATTAATGAAAAATTACAATCCGGAGATAGTGAAAATACACTGGATTTTAGACTCGGACTCAGGAAAATTTTTTCTGTCGTTGGAACCTAATTTAAGCTATGTAGAATAATTTATTTTTGTATCAGAATATATTAGAATTTCGAAAAATGCAGAAAAATGTCAACTGAGATACATATAGAGCTTTCGAATGCTATATAGAACGTATTTTTTGATTAAGTTAAATAAACGGCTCTATTACACAATATACGTCCAATCAACTTTTATAATGCCAATCAAATTTTTATACGTCCAATCAAAGTTTATGCGTCCAAATAAATTTTTAAACGTCAAGTAAAATAAATTCAGATAAAATAAAAATATTTTTATTTATTATAATGCCTTGCTCAAGGGCTAACATTTAAAAATAATTTAAGAGACGATTTAATGTCTGTAACATTAAACACTGAACACCCCATAATAGTTGCAGTAGCATTACATAGTTGATTGGACGTATATTGTGTAATAGAGCCAAATAAACTTATGAAAAAAATCCAGTTGCATAAACTTATGCACCGCAGTGTATTTACCGGATTGTCTCTAATACAAGCCCTGGGCGTCTATTTTTCAATACCCCTCATTGAGTGGGCTTCTAATAGGGCATGGGCTTCTATTGGAGATGGGCTTCTATTAGAGACAATCCGGTATTTGTAGATTTGTGCAAGTTGTCTTCCAGAAGGCGGTACTTGTTTCCCTGTTATGCTTAGCCGTTTGGATCCAACGTGAATAATTTTAAAATTTATTTTTTAAAGAAAATTTTTAAATAAAATTTTGTGAGATAATTTAAGATTTGGCCGTTTTCTATGCCTTCCAGTTGCTCGCTCGTCTCCTGTAAATAAGAAAATTAATGAAAAAATTATCTTTCCAAATTTTAGGTCTGCGGAACGGGAGAGGATAATAATGTTCGTCAGCAATACAACGAAAACACAGCTTTTATTGATGGATCTATGGTAAGCATTAATGCTCGGATCTGATCCTGAAGGATTTTTGAGATTCTGTGTACATGTCCCAAATCCGTCTCAAGAAAATTTATAGCCGCGAACAATGTTCCGGTTTCCGTAAATAATCGACACCGCCTCTTCAAAAAAATTCAAACATTTAGAGAAAAACTTAATGTTTATTAAAATTTAAAAACAAAACGATTTATATTTACACACAGGATTAATTCAGAGAAATCCAACTTGATACGGTCCGGCATTAGCGGGAAATTCTAATTTTTTCAAAAAATTTTTTAAGAAATCCAAAAAAAAGATTTCGGAGAAATAATTTTTCGGGCACTATCAAAAATAATATTTAAAAATTGTCCCGACATTCTGGTAAAGCATATTTTAGTAGATTATCTATTACATATGAATTATTGGAATAGATTTTTGTTATTAATATTTATTTGACATAGTAATCACTTCTTATCTCAAATTACTCAGAGCTTAATTTTTTGAATGCCTAATATTTCTTAGGCAAGTAATATGCAATAAGAGATACAAGATCAAAAGAATAATATACTAATTCCTACTATACCGTATTTTTTTAATAATGCGAACGGTCGGTTTATCTTTCTGCATCCTCTAGAGGGTCGGTTTCAGTGCTGGGTATTGGGCATTTGTTGGCTCCAGCTCCGGAATTTTCAAACTCTTGGCTCCAGCTTCACCGGAGCTGGCTCCCGTAGCCATACCCAGCACTGATCGGTTTATTAGAGGAGATCAGTCTAATTGTGAGTCTCAATGTCAGAAGAAATATTGTAATTATTAAAAGGTTTATGGAAGCAGCCATCGAGACCAATTTGTTTTTCGCCAGGGTGCTTTTATGAAAACAAACGTCCTTCGTTCCCGTGTATTTCCACCCGTCGACAATAATCAAAATATTATTGCTGGAGATGATAGAGCGAATATTTTTGTTGGTTTAGCTGCTTTGCATACTCTTTTTGTTCGGGAACATAATCGGTGACGTTATGAACAATAAATTATTTTTTGTTAAAAGTACCAGGGATCTATCCGGCTTGATTATACAAAATCTTCAATTTATTTATGTTGGTTTCCCTACATATTAATTAATAGAATATTGTCTTGTTAATAGATATTCTTTAATGTAGCAATCACCTCCATTTTTGGTCTCACGTTCATATTTTTTGGATGCCTAATATTCCTTAGGCAATTATTTATTATCTAACCGATCCGATTTCCGTCGAGTTTTTCAAGTACAAAGATGGTTGAAATTTTTAAAATTTTATAACGGATAACCAATCCGACGTTTTTTGTTCGGGATTTCCAAATCCTAAATCGGGATTTCCAAAATCGTGATTTCCAAATCCAAATCCTTCGAATGCGGAATGAACTCTATGTGGTTCGTTTATTAATTTTTGTTAGGAGCAGGGGTAAGTGCAAGAGTTATATGAAAAAAGGCAGTTAAGTAATGATCTTATTACTTTTAAGTATTGCTTTGCTCCTTCAAAAAGTGAATTCGCATTGGGACCATGATAGAATTTATTTGGAGACTAGAAGAATTGTTGGGGCTGTTATACAAGTATTTAATTTTGATTTATGGGAATTTCTTAAATTTTCAGAAAATAACATATGAAGATTATCTGCCCCGGCTTTTTGGCAAAAAATTTGATGAACTTATTGGAAAATATAAGGGATATAATCCTAAAGTTGATCCTTCTATTTTTGTAGGTTTTAATTAAATAAAGTGACTAATTTTTGGGGTATTTTCTACTTTATAGCAATTAATTTAACTATGGCCTTATTTAAATTTCTAAGTTTTTCCCATTTATAGGGATTTGCTGCATTACGTAGACTCTATTTTTGGAAGCCAATTTATAGTTGGCTAATTTGTTTAAGCAAACTAAGGAATATTACTAGAATATTCTGAATGGTTTCCGAACAATCTGCATTAAAAAATTCAAAAACCTACCATTGTCCACAATTTTTAATATTTTTTTTTGTGGATTTGAAGAGGGATATAAGACTACCTCGTACAAATCTTCATAATCTGTCTATATTCCTCGATATCCCACTTAATCCCTTTTGCTCGCCCCAAATTCTTGAGTCTGGGAGAAACCCGAGACGTCTGTGAGAACTGTGAGAGTGGGAGTCTGGAGGAGTAGCGCTTTATATTAATTAATCTAACGAAGGTTTTGTTTAAATAACTTGGTTTAAATGCTAAACACTTTCCATTTGAATTTTTTAACTTTCTATTTATGTAAGACAATTTTTCTTTGGCTAATTCGTTTAGGGTTCCCTTTTTTATCATTTATTTCTTTTTTGGCTAATCTTTTAAATTTTTTGGTCTAATGCTTGCTTAAATAAAAATCTCTCAAAAAAATCTCGATAATAGGGAAAGAAGGGAGAGTGGGAGACTACTCTACCTCAAAGAAGGGAGACTACACTATCTCCAAATTCTTCCATAATTTTTAAATTTTTAGAATGAATTTACTAGTTGTGCATTTCGTTTTGGGCATGGAATGATTCAAGTGCTTTACTTGTTTTTATTTTAAAATTTTTATTTTTTAGGAATTTTATCCTTTTTTTAATCAAGAATTTGCTCAAATTGGTAAAAAAATTTTTAAAAATATTTTTAATAAATCTTTGTTATTTTTGGGTGGAATACCATTCAATGAAGGAATGTTTAAATCTGTCCATATTTTGTAAGAAAAAAATTTTTTCGAGAGAAAATTTTTTTAATTTTTAGAAATAATGGAATAGATCCTTTAGTAAGAGGTAATTTTTACTGAAAAAATTTTATTTTTTAAATAATTTCCAAAAAAATATTTTTTAGGTTTAATGTCATTACCTGCAAGACTGCCACAAAGACTGACTGTTTCTGTAACTGAAAAGATTTTTGGAAATTCTGATTTGGGGTAAATGTTAAAATTTAATCAAAACAACTAACCGAGGACCTTTCGGTTTTGGTTTTTTCGTCTATTTTTAACAGAAATTTTCAAACTTTTCGATATAAATATCAATTCCAATTTATGTGAAAACCACCATTTTCGAGCTTAATATGAAAGATCTAAAAATAATTTTTATATTATCTAACTAAATCTTGACATATTAACTTATCTCATAAATCATGTTCTTTTTTTTATTTTTGTAAGCTAAACAGCGCTTTAGCTATCTAATAATTTGAAATTTTAAAATGTTAGTAAAATAGTTGACTTAATAAAATCCTCAAAGGATTTGGAGTAAATTTTGTAAAACTTCATTAAGTAGCAAGCGGCAGTCTAAGAAAAATAGCTTAAAAAATAAAATTTTAATTAATATAATTATTTGAATTATATTCGTATGAAAAACGCGCATTCTTTACTTCAATGTTTTTTGTTTTAATTTTTTTTAATTTTTTGGAAGCTAAGTTTTTATTACCTTAGCTAATATTCATTAAAGATTCTTTCATAAAAATCCCCTTCAAATTCCAGTTCAATCAACATTCAACGAGGGAGAGACCACGGAATTCCTGGATATATTGCTTGGCGTAATTTATGTAATTTGCCACATGTCAAAGACTTTGCTGATTTAAACACAACAATTAGTAATGAAATTGTGAGGGAAAACTTGAAAATTTTGTATAAAAAAGTTGAACTGATTGATATGTATGTTGGTGCTCTTTTAGAGGATCCTATTGAAGGGGCACTTATTGGTGGGTTTTTGAAATTTAAAGGAGAATTTTATTTTAATTTTTGAAAAGTTAATTAAAATGAAGTCTGCTAGGGGGAATACCCGCTGGCTTAGCTAATTTTATGTTTAATATGAACTAGTTGTGCCCATTGGGGTATGGCGGCGAATAGCATACTCTGGCAGTTTAATTTTGCTTTAGGTTTAAATTTTACTCTGCCCGTTGGAAAGCCTAACGGCTTTGGGGCGCGCTTCGCGCGCTGCCAGAAACATTAAGATTTGCCCTGCCTTTTCATTGCTTCGGGCCTTCGGCCCTCGCCAGCAAAGTTTAGCCCTGACTATTCATTGCTTCGGGTCTTCGGCCCTTGCGATTCATTTGGGGATGGATCCTAAGCTCGGGCCTTCGGCCCTCGCGATTCGTTTTGCGATGGGTCTTACGCTCGGGCCTTCGGCCCTCGCGATTCGGTTTGAAATGGGTCTTAAGCTCGGGCCTTCGGCCCTCGCGATTCGTTTTGAGATGGATCTTAATCTCGGGCCTTCGGCCCTCGCGATCCATTTTTAGATGGATCTTAAGCTCGGGCCTTCGGCCCTCGCGATTCGTTTTGGGATGGGTCTTAAGCTCGGGCCTTCGGCCCTCACGATTCGTTTTGAGATGGATCTTAATCTCGGGCCTTCGGCCCTCGCGATCCATTTTTAGATGGATCTTAAGCTCGGGCCTTCGGCCCTCGCGATCCATTTTTAGATGGATCTTAAGCTCGGGCCTTCGGCCCTCGCGATTCGTTTTGAGATGGATCTTAATCTCGGGCCTTCGGCCCTCGCGATCCATTTTTAGATGGATCTTAAGCTCGGGCCTTCGGCCCTCGCGATCCATTTTTAGATGGATCTTAAGCTCGGGCCTTCGGCCCTCGCGATTCGTTTTGAGATGGATCTTAATCTCGGGCCTTCGGCCCTCGCGATCCATTTTTAGATGGATCTTAAGCTCGGGCCTTCGGCCCTCGAGATTCGTTTTGGGATGGGTCTTAAGCTCGGGCCTTCGGCCCTCGCGATTCGTTTTGAGATGGATCTTAATCTCGGGCCTTCGGCCCTCGCGATCCATTTTTAGATGGATCTTAAGCTCGGGCCTTCGGCCCTCGCGATCCATTTTTAGATGGATCTTAAGATCGGGCCTTCGGCCCTCGCGATTCGTTTTGGGATGGGTCTTAAGCTCGGGCCTTCGGCCCTCGCGATTCGTTTTGAGATGGATCTTAATCTCGGGCCTTCGGCCCTCGCGATCCATTTTTAGATGGATCTTAAGCTCGGGCCTTCGGCCCTCGCGATTCGTTTTGGGATGGGTCTTAGGCTCGGGCCTTCGGTCCTCGCGATTCGTTTAGGGATGGGTCTTAAGCTCGGGCCTTCGGCCCTCGCGATCCATTTTTAGATGGATCTTAAGCTCGGGCCTTCGGCCCTCGCGATTCGTTTTGGGATGGGTCTTAAGCTCGGGCCTTCGGCTCTCGCGATTCGTTTTGGGATGGGTCTTACGCTCGGGCCTTCGGCCCTCGCACGGCGGGCCTCCGGCCCGCCGTTTGGGGGCCTTCGGCCCCCAGCGTAAAAAGTTGTAGGAGAAATGTACCCTTCAAAAAATTCCAGCCGCCGGCCTTCGGCCGGCGGAATTTTTGAAAGGGATTTTACGGCCAAAAAGGGGGAGGTGTCGGGGTTTTTTATTATATATATATATATAAAAATTCAAAAAATTTCTATAAAATTTAAATCTTGAAATATACAATATTAGTAGTAACATTTTTTGTAAGTAATTATTTTTGTAAGCTGTACAACACTTTAGCTATTTAATGGTAAATGTCCATTTCAAACACGATTTTTCGTTAAAGAAATTTTTTAAAATTGTTTATCTCTTCTAAGTTTCATGGGTTATTAAATGATTTGTTAACATTATTGCTAAGTGTTAAAAAATCACCCCCTTAGAAGACTGAAGATTTTAAAATCATTTGCTAATTTTCACATTTATTTTTAACAAATATTTTTAAGGTCCAACATTAGCTTGTGTTGTTTCAAAGCAGTTCAAGGCTTTAAGAGATGGTGATCGGTTAGTTTTATGAAAGAATAATTACCCTATTTCCTTTAGGATTAGGCATTATTTCGAACAAACTTCTTTTCTCCCATTTTTTTATCATTATTCTTTTCTGTAGCAATATCTCGAGATTTCTAAGTAAAACTAGCATAATCCTAAAACATAATTTTAATTTAAGGACGAGCTAAAAAATTTTTTAGAGGGGGAGAATATGCCGTTTCGATTCCCCTTTCCGAAATTGGATATTTACTTATATTTTTTATGTTGACACATTCCCTCATGAGTTAATCAAAAATTGTCCAATCATCCACTTTTTAAGAATTAAAAATAAACCGTTATCCTAATCTCAAATTTTCTTGTGGAATTTCATCAAAATTTCTAAACAAATAATTTTATTAAATTATTTTTTTTTCACAGATTTTTCTACGAGAACCCAGACATACTTTCCAGTGAACAAATAAAACAAATAAAACGTGCAACTCTAGCTAGAATACTTTGTGATTCTGGCGATTCTATGAAAAAAGTTTGTAAATTTGTTTTTTAAAGTTTTTTCAATCAGTATAAAAGTCTAGAAATTTTCAAAAAAATATTAAATTTAACAAATTTAAAAAAAAATAAAAACAATAATTTTTAACTAATAAAAATAGTTTTTTTTAACTTATTAATTGATACAATTAATTAGCTATAATTATTTTTGATAAATTAACTGTTAATTAATTTTGAGACATCAGCCGGTTTTAATTTTTTGGATGTCTAAATATTTAAATTAGATAAATTTATTAATTGGGACTCTAACTTTTATCCAACTAGTGATCGGACAAATAAATAAATCAAGTTTGTAGACATTTGATTTTTAAATGAAATAATTTAAAATTTTTTATTTTCGCTACCAGTCAAGTTTCAGACCCAAACTTTTTAAAAAATTATTTACCAAAACTTTGGTTTGACCGATTCCTAATTTATTTCTTAAGGTACCCAGACATGCATTTAATCAAGCAAAGGCTGAAGACCTAATTAATTGTGACCAGATTGATTCACCAAATTATTTTAAATGGAAGGAAGATCAACTTGGGATTTAAATAATTTTTCTAAATAATTTACAATTCTATATTTCCCAATTATTTAACTCCTAAATAATTCTAAAATGTTTTTCTGATGAAAACCTTATCTATATTTACGGCACGTAAATTTTTCTTATTAAATTTCCACTACTGATCAGTAAGTTATAAACTCCATGCAAGAACCAATCATTTTTAGAGCCGAATTTTTAATTATAAATGTTACAGATATCCAAAAATTCCCATAATCCACAAGCTCCGTGCCTAATTCTTAGGGTGGTCTGAACAAGTGATTTTATTATCTTTGGGGTTCGGGCAGGACTAAATTATAGTGTTGGGGGTCTACGTCATTGTAGCTAGACTAAAAATGATTCTTAGTTACGAATCAATCCAACAAATATTTTTAAAAGTACCAAATTAATTCTCTTTCATATGACAAAAAATAATGAAACAACTTTTCTCTAAAATAAACAAAATTGGGCTTTAATTAACTACTCGTAAGGTACTTTCCCCGATAAGACGCACGTGTGCTTACATAAAATCGGCATCTTCAGCAAAGATTAGATTTTCTTGTTTTTAATTTTATAATGTTTATTTTAGAGAAAATTTGGTATCTATTTATTTCGTTTATTAAATACTTTAAACTTTTGTAAATGTACTAATTTTTAAAATATTTTTTATAATTCCCCTCCGCCTAAATTTTTGCTCAAAATTATTTAAACCCATTAAACTAAATAAAAATTATTTTTTTTTTGTATTTTTCTTTTCGAATAATTAATTAAAATAATTTAAATTAATTTTTGATAAAAATAAAAAAAAATTATCTTTCTTTTTTATTGAAGGACATCAATTGACTGTTTTGATGCCTGTATATTTTTGGAAGCCCTTCCTACATGGGCTAATTTTCCTTACAAAATTATCGTTTTGATACAAGCTACTCTTTTTAAAAGCAATGATATTTTGTTTGTGTATCATTAACTGTTTTGCCAACATCAATATACATACACCTAATATTTTTATGATTTATTAAAATTTCTTTCTTTTCAATTTAATTTATTTAATTAGAATTTCTTCAAACATTTTTAGTTTTATATTTTCTTGAATAGTTACTCTGTGTAATTTTTTTCAATCTAACGCAAAGTGTATAATTAAGCGAAAAAGACAATTATTCGAGTTTTAAAATTTTAACCTTTGATAAGGAATATACAGGTTGTGAAAATTTGGGATCACTTTTTTTTGTCATAACTTTCATCAATGTCAAAGAAAATTGAATTTTATTTAAAAATTTTAATTAAACAAACTAATTTATACAACCTGGCGATTTTCTTATAAATTTTTTTGTTTGGAAAAAAATTAAAAAAATAACAGTTTTCATTGTTTTTAAAGAAGGCTATAATTGGATTTTGGAAATTTATATGGGTTTATAAAAACCTCAGTAATCCTCGAACCTCGGCCAAAATTTGCCCCTCGACCTCTCTCGGGTTTTCCAGCCTTGGTGATCTTCGGTCTCGGTTTTGTTAAAAAACTCGACCTGGACATACTCTACTTTAAATTATTTTTTTGTTAAAGCAAGCTTTAACATCCAAAAATAATCCGACCAAGGAAAACCGGAATCTTGATAATGTTATTAACAAATTTACTAATAAATTTTGGAATAATTTATTACATATGAAGCAATTTAAATTTTAGTCTTATGATTAGATTAACAATTTTTCAACTTTCAAGAATATGACTTTTGGCTCTATCTTAGGACATGCGTCCCATGAACATTTATGAGTCCCATAAAAGTATATGCGTCCCAAAAATAGTATAAGCCTTTATTGACGGATCTATGGTAAGCATTGGTGGCTGGATAAGATCCGGATGGATTTTTGGGATTACTGGTTTAGGTCCCAATCCGTCTCCATAAATTTATAGCCGAGACGATGTTCCGGCTTACAAAAATA